TTGCATGGAAGAATAATATTGCTACCAATAGAATGGCCTTAAAACTGCTATTACTTACTTTCCTACTCTTTTAGAAGAAACATTTTTATTTATCGACTAAATTAACAAGAAATAAAGCATCAACAGCTTCAGGCAGTGTAATATAGATCCCTAGAGGAATAATTTCAAACATTCCTTACTATAGACCTACTGTAGGAGAGGAAGAATTGTCTAAACTTGTTAAATCATCAGCCTCTAGAAGTTGTAGAACCTCTTCTTAATATTATTGATTTTTTATTGATGGTTGCTCAGTGCTGCCTTTGGCACTATCAACCACAACATTTTCTTGGATAGGCTTTATGTTTTTATGTAAATTATGTTGGCACTAATAGAATTGCTTTGGCATGGTTGAAATTGCACTTTTCTGACCATTATCAATTTGTAAGAGTAAATGAAGAGGTGTCATATCGACCACAAGTTTGGTATGGAGTACCACAATTTTCCTGTTTAGCATCCAAACTCTGGAACAATCTTATGTTGTTCAGGAGACAGACACACTTCGTCAGTTTAAATGTAGATTAAAGACTCATCTATTTAACCTACCATACACATAACACACTTTCACATTTCTATAATTCCATAATCTCTTAACGTATTTTCAACTGGAACCAGGAACACATCCCATAACACCCATTGTACTTGTTACATCATAAGAAGAATGGAATCTATGCTTATATTTGTCTGTCTCATCCTTTATCCCGAGCTTACCAGATCCAGACCAGATGGTGGGCCTGTGCCCTCTGGCCAGCTGTGAATCGTTCCAGGACCAGCTGGGACTGAAACGCAGTTTTATCAAGAAGGATGTTCATTGTGCTTAAGGCACTGATAAGCCAGTTGTATACTACTGGCTACATGGCAGCTCTACCTCTATTTTGTCCTACCTGCTGGACAGACTACAACTCTTTATTTTTCCACCTAATGCCGGTGCTCCACCTCAATTGTTATTACGCCTGTTTGTTCACTTAGTCACATCTTGCAACATTGATCCTTTAATCCTACCCCATACCTAAATTTAACAACTACCTTGCTAAATTTTAAGGAGTCTGCAAATTAGGAGTTTGAGGCAAAAGATGTAGTTACTGATTACTCAACGCAATGCCCTGCAACTGATAACTTTCTACAGATTGTCTTGCTCCATTGTGGCAACTGTCTGTCTAACATTATCATCTAAAGTCACAGGTTGTCTCCTGGTCCTTTGAAGTCTGGCCACAGGCTGTTCTCATTCAGGGCCATGTTTACACAGTCTTTCTGACAGATTGTCCAGTCCTCTGGAAATTGTATTTGGAGCTGGTAGTTGAACAGCAAATAAGAAAGACTACAGCGCTGTGTGACCATTAAATACTTTACCAAATGATAATCCAAGATGTGTGAGATAATGGAATGGTACATCCATAAAACAACTCCACAATCCAGTGTGTTCAGTGTTTGGTCAATGACCCAGTTTGTTCTTCTTCTTCTTTTGATTTAATGGCGAGTTGCGAACCAACTTCAAAGGTGCATATCGCCACCTACTGTGATGGAGTGTGAAAAGAATGAACAAACCCTCCTATATCCTATTATATAACCCACTATTCTTAATAAATCTCATGACTGCATGTATTTGTTTTCCTGAATTTGGACCGTCATTTAATAAGCTGGTTATAGTAAATTCCTGGCATCCTACTGCTTGTAGTTCTTCCTTAAGAATCCTCCTTTCTATTTCATATATCTTACATATCTTCATAACATGCTCTACAGTTTCCTCTATTAAACAGACATCACATAGACCCGTGTTATGTTTCCCTATAATGTGTAAAGTATGATTTAGATTTGAATGTCCTGTTCGTAAATGTGTGAAAATAACTTGTTCTTTTCTACTTAAGTTGTGAATTATTTTGCTTTTCTTTATGGTTTTTTGAACCTTGTAATAGTGTCGACCTGTATGACATGAGTCCCAATCTGTCTGCCATTTCCTATTGCATGCTTCTAAAATAAAATGTTTTCCTTCTGTTCTACTGAGTGCAATGTTTATATTTGGTTCTTTCATTTTAATTGATTCTTTGGCAATTTTGTCTGCTTCCTCATTACCTTGAATTCCCACGTATGCTGGTACCCACATACACTGAATTATTATTCTCATCTGTCGTAAACTGTATAACCTAATCATGATTTCAGTTAAAATGTCAGTTCTATTTGTTTCCAATGATTGTAAACTCATAAGGACTGCCATTGAATCAGAACATATTATTACTTTATCAGGTCTAACTTCATACACCCACTCTAGTGCCATTAAAATAGCTATCATCTCAGCTGTATACTGATGCACCATCTGTTATCCTTCAAGCCTTCCTCACCTCAAACTCTGGAACATAGAATGCAGCCCATGTCCTTCCAGTGTCTTTACTCTTTGACCCGTCTGTATATATTTGAAGAAATTAGTATGATTTTTTTTATATACTCATATACATATGTAATTAAACTAACTGCTTCATTAATTTCCCTTCTGTTCTTATGTAATTTTATGTCTACCCAGTTTGTTCTTCTTCTTCTTCTTCTGTTTTTTGGTGTGTTACATCCTGTGTGCATATCGCCACCTACTTTTGCTGTTATGCAGTCATGGTTTATTTATTATCAATTTATTCCTTGTTTTTGCTTTTCCTGTTCTTACACACCCAGTTTGTTCTTCTTCATGTTTTATGGCGGGTGGCATCCAACCCAGTTTGTTCTTCTTCTTATTTGGAATTTTTTGGCGTATTCCGCACCATAGGCACATACCGCCACCAACTGTTTCTAATCATACATGGATGATAGTCCTGCCTCTATTCATAACCCAGTTTGTTCTTCTTCTTCTTCTTCTTCTTAGTTTTATGGCGGATTGCAACCATGACTTATCAGGTGCATACCACCACCTACTGTAAACCCAGTTTGTTTGTCATGCTGCTTGCTTTTATACTGGTCTACTTCCTGATTCCTGTCATGTGATCAATCACATGACAGGCAGACTCATGAACATTTAAAGACATTCACACATTAAAATGATTAAGATTAAAATGGCTAAGACAACATGTAAAACCATTAAAATTCAAATGTATAAATATAAAACCATCTTCATATTGAGCGGTATAAAAAATTTCTGTGTCTTTGTGTGACAGTGTCACAACTGTGTGCATGTCAAACAGAGTAAGAAAAAGTAAATTCAGCTCCATCAGCATGTTTATTGTTTCCCTTTATTCCTTTTTGTTCTTCAGCTTGCTATCCCCTTGAATTTAAAGAATAATCCATATTTATGCATACTCTTCAGGTCCATGATCCTTGGTGCCAGATATAGTGTCACGCTCACACAAAATTTTATAATGCTTTTATTCCTCATTGCATACACTTCATTTCTCTCACATTTCTCATTTTCCTCTCTAGGGCCCACTATTCTACACACACCTAATTTATATACTGTTTCATTTTGAAGGTTGAGCACTCTGGAAGTTGTATTTGTCAGTCACAAGTGTCATTGAGACTTATTAAAAAAAATCTCATTAAAAAATTAAATAAAGAAATAACCATTGCATTCCAAAGTAAAGAAGAAATTACAGTAATTCATACCTATATACAGTATAACAGTCAATTTTATAATGGTTACTTTTCTGAAATGAGATATCCTTAATAATTATATTTTCCATTATATTGCATTTTTATTCACATGGCATTATTGTCAGAGGATTCATATAGGCCAGGGCTTCTCAGTCCTTTTTGTTAGAGATCTACCTTTCTGCAAACTTCAGTTCAAACCAGCTAAATAAGATCTTGTGGAGCATTATAGGAAGGTTTGTTTGATCAGGATTGGGACTGACTTTTCTAGGTATAGGTAAATCTCCAGGAGAAGGATTGGGCAATCTGGATATAGGCACTTTCAAGTAATTCAGTTGGACTATTGCACTGAAAATAATTAATAAAATTAAATAAAAAGAACTAGAAAATAATTTAAAACAATTCAAATAATAATACAATTAAATTGAAAAAAAAATGCAAAAAAAAAAAATCAGACAATAAAATATATCAGTCTTTCACTTAAAGGAAGGCCTAATATCTTATTTAGCAAAAAAAAACAACAACAAAAAAAACAGTTACAACTGTTCCCATACAGCGTCTTCAATCATTCAGTTGAATAGGAATTACATGTTTTTAGATTTATTATATAATAATGGCCTATAAATTGACCAAATCATGTTTATATTTATATCTAGAGCTTCTGCACATGTTTCTGTGGTGTTTGGGAGTAAGGGTGAGAGGAAATATCATTTACCTGATATAAAAAAACAGTGGAAGTCTAAAGACTTTGGCAAGCAAACATCTCTATGTGTGTAGGTGTGTGTTGTGTGTGTGCATGTTTGACTATACTTGTTAGGTCCAAAAATGTCCTCACTAAAAATGAAACCTGTTGAACACCGACTGGTGAGCCTGACCTTAAGAGGTCCTCGCTATTTAAATCTAGTGTTTTGCGCATGTTTCTGTGAGGGTTATGTTTAGGGATAGGGGTTGGGTTAGTAATAGAAAATATCCTTAACCTGATATATAAAAAAAATGTAAGTCTATGAGATGTCCTAACTAATATAGTGAAAGATACGTGTATGTGAGTGTGACTGAGCGTGTGAGAGAGAGAGATAGAGATGGCGCTGTGTTCAGTGGTCTCACAGCCACAGTTTGAGGAAACTTCGCCAAGCAACTTCAATATGACTTTCTGCTCTCTAACAGCACACGGACTACCCCGCCGCCTATGAGGATGTGACTCCAAACGGTTGCTCAGTGTACTTTTCTAGATTGTTACATGGACACACAAATCTAAAATCCCCGGAGCGAGTAAGTTTGTGGAGTGAAGTGAGTTTTTTCCGCGGAATCGATGTCGCTACATATGCGAGAAAACGCACAAAGAATGTTACTGGGTTTGAAATCACGCTGCTTGTGATCCTGAAGCTATTACGCATGGAACTATGAACGATCCGGAGCTCACGCCGATCTCCAAGGCGCAGCAGCGAATGGCTTCGGCTTTACCCGGGGAGGAGAGCCCTCTGTCCGGCAGCGTGTGCAGACCCGAGCGCAACGGGATCTTCTTCATCCACTGCTTCGTCTGTGGGAGCGGGGTGACCCCGGGGAAAGAGCTGAGCCTACAGGTAAAATACCAACGAGAAAAAGATGGCCCGTTTTTCCCTTTCCTGCAAGGCCAGGACCCGGCTCCTGGCGCTCCGGAGATCAGTCCGGATGGGGACGCTCTGGTGTGCGCTGTGTGCCACTGCTTCCTGCGCGAACAGTGGAACTCATTCGAGCGCAACAGGACGCCGATCGAGAAGCGCATGTACTGGCTCAAGAGACCATACCAGTGCGACTTACGGAACTTTACATACGATCTGGAGAGAAGAATGAGCGTTAGCAATTACGACGCCAATGAGTCGGACATTTCCTCATTCTCTGATAATGACCTGTCCGAGCAGGACTTGGACCTGTCAGCGTGTGTAATGAATAGCAATAATGCTAATAAAGCATCAAGAGAAAGCAGTAGAAAGAACACCGTGAGTGTTAAGAGCAGTCCTGAGTCAGTGCGATATCCGACCAGAGTTTACACAGGTCAGGACGTACCGAAATCAGATCGGCGTCCGACTAAAATTATCAATCACACATCGCATTCATCCGTGTCCATGGCTCTCCAGCAGTATGACAGTCTATCAATGCGCACACCGCTGCAGGATAACGGCATCATTACGTGCGATAAGCAGTGGATACATGCGTCCACCGGTGATTCGGAGGCGCCTGACAGCTGCGATATCAACATCACCAGCGATGACGAGAGAGAGCACGCAGCATCATCTCACTTAGATGTAGAGAGGAGCCAAGCAGCCAAATGTCGCTCCAGTGAATGTGCCTGTTATATTTGTGGAAGCAGGCTTCCAGAAGGAGGCCGCTTCAGGGTGTTTGTACAAAAGCAGGAGAGAGCGTCCAGTGAACCATTCTTCCCTTTTCTGTGGCTCCATACCCCTCCACCTGGTGCAGTGCCCCTTAGCCTGGGTGGATACACTCTGGTGTGTACTACTTGCCACTCCTCCCTCATGCAGCAGTGGCAAGGGTTCGAGCTTGCAGATGTTCCTGTTCTCCAGCGACTCTATGTGGTGCCCCTCAACACAGGTGCTGCAACCCCTCTTTCTCCACCTACCATGAATGAATGTGGGGATGGACTCCCAAAAATCCATCCGCTCCCCTCCATGCCACAGAATCGCAGGGAGGCCTGCTACCTATGTGGAGAGCACTGCGGTCGAGAGGTCAGGATGGCATACACCCATGTTGGTGCAAGTAAAGCCCGCAGTGCAATGTATTTTCCATTCATAAATTTGCTACCATGCCCTCCAAATGCTCAGAGAATGCGGAATGGAAGGGTACACTGCTGTGTCGCGTGTCACAGCATCTTGGAAGGGATCTGGGCAGAGTACTGCCTCTGTCTAAGCGAGGAGCTCATTACTTCCGTCACCACATTCCTTGAGAGATACCACCTGGCCATGGGAAGGGGAGGAGTCTTGGTATCCCCCCCCAGAGGACCCCTGTCGACCCCTTCTCAGAATGCCACAACAACCGCAAGCCACACCTCCATCTGTTACTTGTGTGGCGAGGAGCTGTCTGGAGGAACCGAGTATCATCTTCATGTTAACCCTCCAGGGCGTTGTGGGGAAAGAGAACCCTTTTTTCCCTTTCTAACTGTCCACCCTCCCGCTCCCCGTGCCCGCCCTGCTGATGCCACAGGCCTTGTGTCTGCCTGTGCACTGTGCTATCATGACCTGCTGGGCCAGTGGACCCAACATGAGAGTCAGGGCTCAGAATCAGGCCCGTCCAGCAGCCCCTGGGCACGTCAGTATAACTGCAACACTTTCATCTGCTTCTTCTGCAGGAAAGAGAAGAAGAGACCTCTTGGACTGAAGGCAGTGTGCGTTGACCGCTTGCCTGTTTTCCTCTATGCTCCAAGGGTCAGCCAGACCCTGGTAACTGACAATGGCAAGCAGTTAACAATTGGCTCCTGTGTGGAATGTAAGTCCATGGTGCTGGCTGGGCAGAACATGAAACCGGTTAGTGGAATCACACAAAACAAGGTAAGAATGTTATGGGCCAGACTGCTTTCCATTATAATCTTTAGACTCTTGTTTCATAGTCCAGGCAGTTACAAACAATTTTACATGTTTAGAAAATCATTATAACCTCAGCTTACTTTTTTTTCTTTTCAATCAACCGCTAGAGGGTCTTTCAGAGTCTTCTGGGGTCTCAGTTAGTACAGTTTATTAGGCAGCTTTGGCTGGAGCTGTTTCTGGGCCAGCATGCAAAAGTTCATCTGATGCACTGATGAGTGAGTGAGCCAAGTGTTGAAACTGAAGTTTTATGGCAGGCTGCTGTTCTTTCTAGCGAGTGGGGCGGCCATAACAGGCAGGGGGTAGATAAAGTATGGAGCCTATTGCATTAAAGAAATAAACATTTTGCAGACAGTCTAGTGGTTGTAAGCTCTGTTTAAAAACATTCTTCACAGTGGCCAACTCAAGCTTTTGTTGGTCTCCTGGTGTGTGTGTGTGTGTGTGGTAGTTTTTGTGTGTATTTTGAGGATGTTGAGGAACACTGTGTTTTTTTAGGCTGTAAATAGCTGTATTCACATATTGTCAATCTTAATGTCCAGGTAGATGTTTATTTTGTGATTTGCACAAAAGCATCTCTTCTCAAGTCTTTATATGAAGCTACCTGTATGTATGGCTTTGTTTACTGCAGGGCTCCAGACTTACATGTGAGAGTGGTGCCAACAAGTTTTATAGTTGGTGGCGTCAGCACTTTATTTGCACTCGTGGGGATGGGGAGACTAATACTAAAGGACACAAATTAAAGTTGCCAATAATATTACATATGTTGTCTTATTTAAATGCACTTTTGGCACCTTGGGTTTGCCATTTTATTTTTAATTTTTAATTATAATTCTTCCACAGTATTCATACTTTTAACAGGTTGTAGACCATGATAACTAGGTAAAACCGTGGCTCCTCACTACCATGGTGAAATGTAACTAAGTTTTCTAACTATTTGGTCTCTATAAAACTGGTATTTGTTATGAAAAACAAATGTTATGGAAAAATAAACGGCCATTTAATCATAAAAATGAATTATACTCCCTTAATCCCCTAATATATTTAGTACAATATACATCACTATATTATTAACATTATAGTTATACCACATTCCTGCCAAAATGCCATGATAAATACAGTTTACTACAGTAAATCCATGGTAAATATTTTCAAGGATAGTGATTGAAAACTTGCGTGTACATGACACAATGATTTCTCCTGTTTTCTTGTGTTCATTGCTGTTGAGAATGTTGAGGCTGTTTCATCTGGTTTGCAATTAGTTTCAATCACCGAGACAAAATTTGTCAAAATTTGTTAGATTTTCTGTGCTGAATTAAAGCTCTTCTCACTGGATCCCACAGCACTGTTTATAAATTATGCCATGTAGTTAAGATCGCTCTGAGAATAAATGCACCTGCTATGAGCTAGTAAATACTCTGTACTGAACAACTCAAATGGATAGTGCTGTTTCATTTCCTTTTTGGAGTGTTTAACATTTAATTTTTTTTTCATATGCAAAATAAATGAAAGCGCATAGTCTAATCATACAGTTGACCAACTTTATAGAGGCTCCAGTGTGACCGCTAACAAAATTTAGCCGCAACAAAAGGTTGCAGTCTGAAGCCCTGCTACTGTATGAAAGATGACCCTGTTTTGCTTTCGTTTACACTGCTCCTTGTTTCTCATGATATACTCTTGTGTTTCCTGGCATACAGGAAGCTATTCTCTGAAAGTTGTATGCAGATGCTCTGAGCTAAGCCTGGATAGCAAATAACTCCGGTTTTGGCATACACACTCTAAAAAATGCTGGGTTAAATACAACCCAGTGCTGGGTAAAATAGGGACAAACCCAGCAGTTGGGTTGTTTTGACCCAGCGGTTGGGTTACTACCCAGAAGGTTGGGGTAAACATTTAACCCAACCGCTGGGTCAAAACAACCCAATTGCTGGGTTTGTCCCTATTTTACCCAGCACTGGGTTGTATTTAACCCAGCATTTTTTAGAGTGCAGTATAAAGGAAAGTGTGTGTGTACACTGGTCAACATATTTTAGGAATAATGTAAAGCAAGTTATTGTTTGTTGTATTAAGTGAGATAAAGTTACAATTTAAATGAACAAGCAAATGTCCAATAAAAGATAAAATATTATTTATCAATTAAAACAATTGGGTCAAAACAACACAATTGCTGGGTTTGTCCATATTTCACCCAGCACTGGGTTGTATTTAACCCAGCATTTTTTAGAGTGCAGTATAAAGGAAAGTGTGTGTGTACACTGGTCAACATATTTTAGGAATAATGTAAAGCAAGTTATTGTTTGTTGTATTAAGTGAGATAAAGTTACAATTTAAATGAACAAGCAAATGTCCAATAAAAGATAAAATATTATTTATCAATTAAAACAATTGGGTCAAAACAACACAATTGCTGGGTTTGTCCATGTTTCACCCAGCACTGGGTTGTATTTAACCCAGCATTTTTTAGAGTGTACAATCGGGGTTTGAAATGAAAACCTGCCAACCTGGCAAATGCGGGTGAAAATCAACCATAGGAGGTAAAACATAACTCAATAGTCAGTTTGTTTAATAAATTATATCCTTCAACCAGGAGCCTCTAACATTAGCAAAACAAAGCATAAAGAGGGTCGCACACTCAATGAGCAGCCCCGTGTCTTTTATATTTAAATCTGTAAGTGTTTTTTCAAACGCCTAACTTCAATCTCAATTCAGTTTTCATTCTTAAAGTGCATTTTTTCCTGTGTACAATAATGACTAGAATGTGTCCATTGTGCGATATGATACCTGTAAGATGTCTCAGGTGCTTCTTGTCTGGTGTTTGATTGGAGCCATGGGAGATGGGATGGGAGCCACTTTTTAACTGATATGGATGGAGGAGAGGCTTCAAAACACTGAATTCATTACTCTCTTTGTTCTATGTTCATAAATTTGTACTTGAATGAATTTACCTCTGAATATAATTTTTTTGCCTGTCAATGTTGTCATTATTGCAGTGACTAAATGTACATTTTAGTACAAAGTTTGAATTTCAGTACATGTCTACAAAATGCGCCTTGTGTCACCCTGGCACAAACTTTACTTTGATGTACCGTATTTCTCACATTATTTCAGTAGTTATGTTGTGTGCTTCATATTATCATCATTCTTCAGAGGAATTATTAGATTTCGGAAAAATTGCACACAGCATGGAAAACTTTACAACGTACGCTAAACACTGTTTAATTAATCAGAGATGATAGTTAAGGCTCAACATTTTGTTAATGTCTGAATAATTTAACTCTAACTTGATCTGATGTTCATAAATGTACTGCAAAAACTCGCACATTTGTCTAATTTTCTCATTAAAATATCTAAAAATCCATAATTGAAGCAAGATAAACGTGATTCTTTTGAAAGAATTTTAAAGTGTATTTTGCTTTACATAAAGGCAGATTTGTTGTATTAAGTATAAACACATTAAACAACAAATAAAAATACTTATAAAAACAAGTCTTAATATCTTATGGAGTGTTACTTCTCAAGTACATTTATCTTGTTTTAAGAATTTGTATGTTTTACACAGTCAGAAAGACTGTATGGAAAACTTTTGCTGTGAACTCTTTTGTGCTGACTCACAGTGTGATACAAGCATAAGGTGTATCATTCATTTGATATTTGTGGAAAAATCTCAGCTTTAAAATATCAAGTTTTAGCAAAATATCTAGTACAGCAAAGATTACATTTCATGTTTAAAATGAATGCTTTAAATAAAATGTTACATTTTAAACCTTTAAACTAATTTTTAGACAATTTTATTTTGGTCTCGTGGTTGTAGGCTGTGGCCTCATATACATTCACATTGAAAAGCTTTTGCAGCTTTTTTTTTTTTTTTTTTAAGACTGTAGCAACCCTTGCAAGCACTTGATCTGCTTACAGGGGATTTATGTATGACTATTTGTGCAGCCGCAACAGCAATATATGTTGCAGCATGTCTATGTATGTCTTAGCAGCAGCAAGCCTTTAGCATATTGTTGTTTGTTGATTGTTCCATAGAACACATGGAAACACATTCTTCCAATGTGTTTTCTCCACTGTATTTTTGTGTGAATATTACGTGTAGTGGATAGTCAAGTACAGGTCTGAGTATTCATATGGCAAATGTCACCTATGGTCAGAAGGTGGCCTTGCAAGAAAAAAAAAACCGATGGACAGCCGGTGGTCATCTGAGCTGTGAGAGATTTTTGAGTTGTGGTAGCATGGTAGTGATTATGGTTGAGCAGGTGTTGAGAGTGCTGGATATAATGTCAGGGCGAACATCTGTGTGTATGAGAGGGAGAAAGTGCACATGTAAAAGTTTGATAGAGAGAACCATTTCAAAGACAGCAGCTGTTGTATACAGCGTTTCAAGCCAAAATCATGAGTGAGACTGGGAGACAGATCCACTTTCTCTCTTTTGCGTAGAGTTCTAGCATCTTTTAATGATTGAACATGCATATCAAACACTGTCATTGGAATTCAGATTAAATGCTGTCAGATACTTGCATCAGATATGAGTATAATTCACACTAGCAGCCATCACAACCTAGAAGAGCACTTTCAGGGTATGAAAAGTTTGCTTCAGACAGCAAGTTGGTAAGGCGCAAGGGGGTTGGTTTTTATTGGTTGTCTAGCAATATGGGTTCTTAAAGAGCAGGTCATATGGTATTTTAAAGTGTCCTAATATTGTGTTGGAGTCCTCTACAACAGGTTTAAATGCATCTAAGGTCAGAAAACATTGTAATTTTCTCAGAATATACATTAAATATTAGAGTCATTTGCCAATGATTTCGAAACGATTCGTTCCAAGCAAGTTCGGAGCAAACCCCTCCCTTCCATAAGCCTACTCTGCTCTGATTGGTCAGCTGGCCAAGCCTGCTGTGATTGGCACAGAGAGGAGTCCTTGACTTGAGCAAGTTAGCCAGAGCTACCATTGACAAAGCACCTCTACATAAAAC